TGTTCTACGTACAACTTATAAATATAGACTCTTAAGCCACAGACATCAGTGCAAAGTGTTTGAAGTTTAAGGTCTACATATGGTCCTTAATAGTATCAGTATTGTGCATACTGTAGCTTTAAAACAAATTTTCACATTTTTCTAGGGCCAAATTATGCAACCCATTTAAGTATTAAGGACTGTGAGTACCTTCGTAGAATAAACATATTTTAATTCATAATTAGTGCATCTAGCAATATTACAAAAGAAAACTAATCATAATTTCTCCAATACTCAATTTGCATTCATGACATAGTTTTGAAAATATATTCTAATGTTATTTTAGAATAAAATTTCAGCAATTTGTCACATATATGGTATATAGGTATATTTATGCTTAAGTAAATTATCGGATTATAATTTCTAATGAATTTAAAATGTTAATGGAAGCACTCATTTAAATCTGTATTTTAGAGTATTGTTTTATCCCATTTATTTTATCTAATTCTGTATATTATTTGTGTATCAAATCTAAGGAAACATGCTAATTAGAAGTGCATTTTAACCTCAGAAATTATAGAAATCTCTACATAATTTTTTTTCCCTTTATGAACTTTTTTGCACTCAAATTAATTCACAATATCCTGATTCTTTTATGACTTTCCACTTTACCATTTTCCATTCAGTGCTATGAATATTTACTCAGAAGTAAATCCCCTTGTATCAGTCTAGCTTACCCCAGTAAGTCCTCATATGAGAGTATTCTACCAGTATAAGAAACAATAAATATAAAAATCTTCTTGTCAAGTAATATCTCTCATGTTAATTAAAATCTCAGTAATGGTTAAATAAATTATACTATAGGCTTTGAACTTCAGATGATAAACCATGAATTGCAAAAATGTCTTAATAAAGGGTTGTAGAGTGTCAAAATACATATTTGAATGAACAAATATGGGAAAAATATGTAATTTCATCATATTATATTTAAGACCAGAAGACCTAGTTCAAACATTTTAATATAGCAATATAGTTGGGAATGTATTACTCCATCAACCACATGTTACCCTGATAAAGTTCTATAATCCACTACCCTTCTGGCATTTTAAAACACATATATACATATATTTCTTTACAGTCTTTAAAAAAGTATTTGCTTACATGACTGCTTTCTGGGTTCATTGGCTTAAATGTTCCAGTTCTGACCCCACTGTCCTATGGATTATTTATACTGAAGTACTGCACTACATTACATGTTTAATTGATACCACAACAGGCAGAGAAACAAAACATTTAATACTGTGCTTTGATTTAAGCAAAAGAGCAACATGTGCAAGTCATTTGATCAAATTCAAAGCAGCAAACATTTCCGCTTTCACAAGCAGAGTGGGCAAATTCAGTTTATTACTTCACCACCTTTGACAAATGCATTACTTCAGTTTGTAACTTTTATTGTAAGATATGGCACTCATCATTCAGAAAAGACAAATTTAATATTCTTCCAGAACTCTGTCTATAACAAAATTGTCTGATTTTACCTGAAATCTCTTTGGGTACAGTTTTATTTCTGATAAGATGGAAAGATGTGCCAAGTTTTGGAAGCACAACAGTTAGTAACTATCAAAGAAATTAACTTAAGGAGGATTAATAATGAACAGTGTTCCTTTAAGTATTGTTTTGCTTAAAACAATACATTAAAATTAACTCACTGAACAGCCTGCTAAAGTTGAGGTACTTAAAAACAGGCAGTTTTTCTTTTTTCTCTTACTCTGGCAATGTCTACTTTCACTCTACCATTGAACACAGTAAAACAGTTTTTGGCAAGCACCACCAAACTATTTTAAAGCATTACCTGCAACAACAACAAAATCAATGTGCTACAGTATTTTCAATCCATAGCACAAAGATAATGTAAGGTAAAATGTCCATAAACCTGGAGTAGTCCAATGGGTTTAAAAAGAGCAAAACAAAAATCCTACTGAAATCTATTTGAACAATGCCAACTTCTTTTCATTTTAACAAGCTGATAGAACATTCAGGTGCCTTATTTATGCAGAAACAGCAATGGAAGGATTGCTATTATCAGCTAGTGAAAAACAAGAAAAATGCTAGGGGTAGGCAGACCCTAAAAGAAATTGCTAATCCAACTGCATGATTCACTCTAGAATTATGACAGGAGAGTTAAGAAACCAAAAAAAAAAAAAAGTGTTGTTTGTACTCACATTAATAAAAAAGCAAGGAAAACAAAGAAAAAAAAGAAAAGTTGCTCTTCCATAACCTCAACCGAACAATTTATCATGAAAGCTGTTTTGTTCAGTGACATAAAGCATATATTCAATAGCGGAATAACCTTAATTTCATTCACTGCCAAATGATGCTAAATCACTATGAAATCATCAGCTGCACCCAGAGCACTTTACTTTTGCATTGTGAGAGCATCACCAACTACTGCACGTGAATTTATACTCTGACAGCATGAGTCACCCTTGGCTGTGGAAAGTCTCCAAGACCAATGATCCTCTGAAAGCACTGAAAATCTTGGGGAGGGGGCAAGGAGCTGAGTATCTTCATGCCATTAATCTGACTTAAACATTTACTCGAGACTCGCCCTATTGAACAAACAGAGGAAACGGAACCTGCAGGGCACAACGGTTCTGCTTCTAGACCCCTCAGAACAGGTGCTACGTGGAACTGGAGTCTCCCCGCAGCTGCCGAGGGCGACTACAAATATAAACACAGCTTAACATTATAAACCCAAGCACACTTCAGACTGACATAATCTAAGGGCACTGTTGGAATTCTAGCTGCACCTACTGATAAAAGTTTCCCTAGAGTAATTTTTTTCCCCTGATATATTTGTTATCTATCAAGCGGAAAATAAACAAAACTGACCCTCCAGGATCGCGCGCGCGGACGCGTTTTCAGGATGTGTGATTCCACATATTGGCTTTCACGAGTGATTTACTGCAAGTTACGGATGATCTAAGAAGAGATTTTGCCGGTTGTATAAACAGGTCATTAGTGAAAATTAGCTGGCCTGGTCGTTGATGCGACACAGAAAGCAAGAGAAGCGAGGTCCAAGGCGATGCCTTTAGAGCTGCCCGGGCTGATGACTATGAGAAAAAGTTTGCTCCCTTTTTACAAACAAGTGTCCCCCTCGACACACACTTAGGCATGCTTGAGGGCGCAAAGCCGCTGGCAGCTTCCAAGGGAGAGGTCGTTTGTCCGTTTCCCAAAGCGCCCCTTTTACAGAAGCGCCGGACCCTGAAAATGCTGCCACGCCAAGCCCCTCAGACTGCGCCGGTGCTAAGACTGCGCCGTCTTCCTTCCTTACCTGGGGTTGGTGCTGTTCCAGTAGACGGCATAGCGATCGGCCACCGTTTTGGAGCTGGGATCCTGGCTGAAGACGCACGTCCAGAGCACCAGAAAGACCAGCGTCAACATCTCCACGTGCAACATCACTCCCGCCACAAGACACGGCCAAGGGGTAGACGGAGGAGCTGCGAGCGCGTGTGCGTCTTTTCAAAAACAAGGACAAGAACAAAGGAGAACACCAAGAGAAGCGAAGGAGGGAGGAGAAAAGAAGAAGGACAAACCACAGAAAGTCACAGGACACACACAAAGAGAAAAGTGCAAGGAAAACGAGGAAACTTGAGGAGATCCCCGCTGGAAAAAAGCCGGTTCCGAGGAGAGATCCTTGTTATGGAGCCTGCGTGCCCCGGTAGGGGGAGCCGGGAGACTAGCCGGGCAGCAGCAGCGGCGGCGGCAGCAGCAGCAGCAGGCGGCGGCGGCGGCGGCGGCGAAGGAGAAGGCGGGAGGCGCTCATTCACGGCGGCGAGTCCTGTGTGGAGCCTAAGGCGAGACATGCACCGGCCCTGCCCCCGTCCAGCGCTGCTGATGGGCGGCTCCGCTGTCCTGGCTTCCCCTCCCCTCGGAAAGGACCGCTCTCCCCCCGCCCCGCTCGCTCCCTCTCTGGGACTTTCTTCCCTCCGTCTTTTGGCGCGAAGGCTCCGGGGGAGCGGAGCGAGGAGGCCGGACGAGGAGAAGCTGCTGCAGCAAATCCTCCGAGGCGGCGGACGGCCGCTCGGGCTCGGCTGTGTCGAGCTGCTGCGGGAGGCCGGAGTTCAGGCGCCTCGCTCGCTCTGGAAGGGATGCTGGTCCCTCTTCCTTGGCCGATGGAGGGAGGAAAACACAGCCGGAATCCAGACCCAGAACCGCCTGCGGGGAGGGGGAGGATTGAGAGGAGTTTGCAATCCCAACCGACTTGCTTCTGGAGGGAGTGCTTGGAAAAAAAAAAAAGAAAAAGAATTAAAAGCGGAACGAGGGAGAAAGGACGTCTCCCAGTTCTCTAGGGTTGTTTCGTTGCGAGGGCGAGGAAGAAGCTTTTCCGCTCCCCGGGAGGTGGGCGCAAGCGGTCTCTCCTCCGTCAAGCTTCGCCAAGTGGCTCCAGGAGCGAAGCGAGGTCCGAGTCCCTGGAATGTCAACTTTGCAAAAGAGGGAGGTGGTGGTGGGGTTAAAATAAAGCGGGGGGGGGTGAGGAAACCCTGCAGACGCCTACATCAGAGGGCGAGCGAGAAAGGCAGGGCGGTTGGGGAGAGGAAGAAAGCCTTCGGGTCTTGTCCGGCAGGCAGCTGCTCCCGCTCTCAGAAACCGCCGCGGCGGAGTAGGAAGAAGCGGGGAAGCGCCTCTCTCGCCACTCCACCAAGCAAATGAAATAAAACTCGAATGCAGCGGCTGGCAGGCAGGGATCGCAAGGAGCAACGAGGATTGGAGGAGCAGAAGTCAACACTGCCAAAGAGGAGGAAGGAAAGGAAAATGGGGGGGGGTCTTTAAATAGTCACGCCCACTTTTTTTCTTTTTCTTTCTATTTTTTTGCAATGACCGGTTTCTTCCCCGCGTATAAATCGTCAGCAGCCACCTAGGAAAAGCGGGGACGCTCGCGGGATGGGTTGTCTGCGTGCAACAGACGGCTGCATAGATGCTATATGAGGACTGTGGCAGACATCCACATGTGTATGCGTGTCAGATCTGGAAGCCTCCGTTTGTGTGCGTGTGTGTGCACAGAAAAGGCGCAAGCAGCTAGCTAGGAGCGAAGGCGCTGCTGGTAGATCATGTGGGATTTTTGCATGCAGTTTACTTGCGTAAGGGGAGGAGGAATCGCTGGAGCAGCCAGTCAGAGCCCAGATTGTTTGCTTATCGATCGCTTTTCCCCTTTCTTTCTCTCCAACCCGATTGGACTCCGATCTTATCAAAGAGGTGTCTTCTTCGCCTTATGGCCCGCCCTTACACCAAACAGACTCGCCCACCTTCTGAAAACCTGACTAATTGAATTACAAGAAGTGGTTTCTTGATGCAGCAGGTAACCATTTCCGCGGGGGACTGCGAGACAGAATTGCCAGGGCGCTGCCTTGGTGCCGGCTCTTCCCGTTCCCCGTAAAAAGGGAGGCGGAGGAAGAACCAAGCGAAAGCCATTTACCCAGATCTGGGAGAAAGGAATGCGGCATCAGCTGCTGATGTGCTGAGATCCGTGGAATTTGGCCGCAACCTGCCAGCTTAATCTTGCTCTTTGAGTGTGATCAGTTTTTAAAGGGAAGGTGGGGGTGGAATGAACTTAACTACCTGGAAAACAATTTGCGTAGAATCCTCTGTTCCCGATGATGAAAGTGGATACCTTGCTAAAAGGCAGGTCAGCCCTGGCGGTTTGAATAAGGTTGTTAAAAACAAGGGAGACCCTGACAAAACTGCCTTGCCCGATCTGCAGCTAGACCTGCGGGTCTCCAGGCCTTTCCCCGCTACTGAGCTGAAGCGCCGTCTCCCATCCTTGAGCGGCAGAAAACTACAGTACCTGTCTACCCATATCCTGCCTCTTTTCCCTCTTTTTTCTGAGCTCTGCCAGTCCCCTGACCTCTTTCCAAAATAGAGAGTGGTAAAGCCTACTCGATTTTACAAAGACCACAGAGGAGAATGATTTAAGTCTGTTACTCACGGGCTGGGGACAAGATTAAGGCAAAGTCACAGGATATGGCAGAAAAAAGGATGCCAGAGCAGGTTAATGCCATGTCATGGTTTGCTGCAAGTGGGGAAGTTCGTGCTGCTGGGAGAGAAAGTGTGGACCTGTAGCAAGTCACATTTCATTAGCATTGTTCCCAGGACAGACATCTCAGTGTCTGCAGCCAGCTGCGTTTGTATGCTGCCCTGCTGGTGAGGCAGCTCAGGTGACCTTTCTCCAGAACGCAGTTTTAAGGCGTTGTACTTGTTTGCGGATCCACCCATCACCCTTGCACATAAAAAACACGTCCCGGTGGGGTCCAAAGTTTCAGGCCAGTAATTGAAGGAATAAATGCTGCTCCACCAGTAATCAGTTGCACTTTACTGTGGAAGGAAGAAAGGAAGGACCTTAGTCTCCTTAAAGGAACATACCCTGCGTGGAGCTGCTGCTTTATGTCAGATCTTTCAGCAACTTGGGGAAAGATACATGCTTACACTGGGCAGAGGTTTTCTTCCCTGCTCTCAAACAGCATTACTTTTAATTCTGTGAGAAATGTTCTTTCAAGTGTAACAAAATGGTTTTTCAGCAGCCCCCTCCCCCCAAAAGTATGTTTTTTAACTGCTCTGTCTCTTCAGCTCTAATTTTTTGAGGCTTCCCAGTTGTTTCAAAGTGCCCATGTTCCCTCTAGTGGTGAATTGTAAGGCAGCATCTTAGGCATTTATTTTAAAAACAATAAGGCTGAGTTTGTTTCAATCAGTTTGCCTACACCAGATAAGATATATTCTAATATTAAAGAAAGAAATCCACTGAGAGTTGCTGAAAAAATATGTAATTAATCCTTTCAGCTAGTCTAAGAATAGGAAAGGTTTTGAGAATGTAGGTCTGCAAAAATAAATTTCATATCACTGTGGGTGATTCAAATTAATACCATAATAGAAGTACCTTGATAGCAAGAATACATATTTGCTGGAGGTGTGTCAGATACTGAAACAGGAAAACATGCCACAGTATTCTGCTGAAATGTGTGGGTTTTTTCCTTGCAGATATGCCTAAAACGGCCACTATAGAGTTAAGCAGGTACAGTGATAAATTATTTACAGAATAACAGGTTACAAGAAAAATGCAATTGTCACAGTTCTATTTTCAAGTAGTTGACATTAAAGAATAACCAGAAGCAGTAGCCCAATAACTTTGGCTGCATTATCATTTTTCCCCAAAGGAAAATGACGAAAATAATATCAGATTGGCAAGTGCCACAACCATACAATTCATATGCGTTTATTGACTTAAATTTGTTCATTTATCTATTATCTATGTGCTTTTCATTATGATGTAATTAAGCAATTAATGAAGCCACTTATTTGTGCCAATAAATACCTTTGACCTTTGCCTGTAACTAGAATCGTAAGATAAGTTGACAAGTGATTTATTCTGCATGAACGTGCATTATAAAATTTGAAATGAAGAATTTACACTGAGAAACAAATATAACTGAATAGTCGCAAAGCTTCCCCTCATAGATTGCTACTCTGTAGCAATCAACAAATACTTCCATGTAACTTTTTTCTTAGCTAAAATGAAAAACAAACAAAAGGGACCTGCTAAAGAAGTAGCAGAACTTCTTACAAGTGATGTCTTATATCTAGAGTGCATGACTTATGAGTTGCTAATGGGAAATAAATACAGAAGGCAATTATTTTAAAATGGAATAATACATATTTTACAGATTTTTAATACTAAACATAAAAACGTCTTGCACTGAATTAGATCAGTGGTCCAAATAGCCTTCTATATCTTGCATTTCATGAAGTGGGCTCAAGATCCACTTTTAAGCCATAGTGTTGTTTGAAGGGGACTTATTAATTCCCATCGTTCTTCACAACTTTCACTAAGAAAATGGGATGAAGAAAAGGAAGGAAAGTTGAAGGCTACCAGATACTAGCCAGATAGCCCATGCTTAAAGTATTGTTAAAAGGGGACAACTTACCTTTTGACTCTGTTCACATACACATTTATAAACTAGGATTTTTAGCTAAGGTTTGTTGACTAAGCCTCAAAGGACTGGTTCACAACATTAAGCCATAATTTGTGAGTTCTCAAGACAAAAAAAAAAAAAATACCATTGAGGATGTACATAGCATTTATTCTGCTTTTGTATCAGCGTACATGTAAAATTCATTTCAGCGTACATGTAAAATTCATTTTTCCAGAGGAGAAGCTGGAAAAACTCAGACAAAGGAAATTATGTTGGTTTGAATAGTTCCTCTCAGATTTTACAAACATTCCAAATAGATTTTAAACTGAAGCAAAACTGTAGAAGAAATAACACAACATCTCAGCGAATGTTGTCTTATCCTGATGTAGTAAAAAAAGGAGCAGGATGCTTAATTAATAACAAAAAAGAGGGAAAAGTTCATTTGTTTAGGAGTGAAATTTCCTAACATCTTTGGGAATAGAAGCATCCTGTTGCTACTGATATAAAAGTATATTGTGCAATTGACTGTTGAGAAGCAGTCTCAAAAGCCTTTCATTTCAATATTTATTTTCTAGAAAGGTAGTCATGATAGTTTGTTTCAGTTAATTAAGTAGCATCTCAAAGACTTAACATGTTTTATGCAATAGCTCCACATAATCTTTTGCCTCATAGTAGAGAAAAATACCCCACAGCAGCTGAGAAAAGGACTGAGTTCCCCAGACTCTTGAGTCAGCTCAGTGGTTGCACCCACAAATCTAAACTTACAACTGCATCTTGACCTTGGTTACAATAATTATTTGTGCCTTATGATTGAAGGGGCAGCACAGTAGGAAAAACGGTCAGCAAGTGGGAAGGTAAAGGCAGTAAATCTTTTACCTTCATCTTATCTTTACAAGTCTCAGAAGTTGGGAAAATGAGAAGCTCCTCATTTAACCTTCAGATTGCAAGAAACAGAAGCTGCCTTAAGATAGTTTTCCAGTTGCAGAAGGAAGTTCCCTCTAAACATCAGTATGGACCCTCTGCAGAGCATTTTGGCTGCCATGAGGAGGAAAAAGCAGGTATGTGTCCATCTTTATTGCCACTTTATTAAAGAAAAGAAACTCTTTTAGAAGGCTGCCTGCTCTGGTATAGATTTTGATTGCTTGACACTGAACAGCTGAATGTCTTTTAAAAAAAAAAAAAAGATAAAAGACTCCCTCTGGCCAAGCCTCATTCTTGGTTCCTTTAGAAATATACAAATGTCAAGACATTTTGTGCTCGCTAAAGAGGACCTTCAGAAAGTGTCTTGAGGAAAAAAGTTTAAAAATTAATTATAGAGTGACATGAATAGTCATGAATGGCATCATTAAATCTCCATTACAGAATATGCTACCTATTTGTCAGCATATAATAAAGGACAAAATACTACACTTTTTTGCTTTCTGGGAAAAAAATCCATAGGCAAAAGGGTTATCAAAATCTAGATGGATTTCATCTCTCTCACAAGATACCTCTGTTGGTAGCTAGAAGCATTTAAAGGTATAAACGTAGAAGGTAGGGCAGCTTAACCGTACTTCATCTAATCACATTTCTCCAGGTTACCAAGCTTCTGTTTACTGTCTTCCTTTTCACTGATTTCAGATATATAAAGGCATCAGACTTTGCCAGACACCACCTAACACAGAAGCTAAAAAAACCAATAGTATGAGAGACAGTGGGAGGGAGAGTGGTATAATTATGCTAGGGTGTTTTGAAAAGGGGCTGAATAATTACAGATTTGAAGTTCCACACAATATCATCATTATAATATAATTGGTTTGCACATCTGTTGGGAGCATAGGGGTACATCCAAGCAGAAGCAAAGATCCTTGTCTGTCTCCTCATATGAATTTTTTAAAAGAGATGTTTCAGATGTTCCTTCATTGTTTCAATCATGAGAGCTTCCAGCAGCTGCAGTGCTGATTCTGAAAGAGTCATTCTGAGATGCGTGAACATACTGGAGCCTCGCAGAACATGAGTGCACAGCCGTCAAAAGCTGTATAATGATTAGTAAATTGTAAAACAGAAAGTTAATTAAAAGAATTCACAAGCCAGGCATCTAAATGAAAATGGTAGTAACTTTTACAAAGTTGAGCGTTATCTCCTTTATGAAAGCATGTATATGTAATATAAATAAAAGAATTTTGACTTTACTAGTGTGAAATCCTTAATCAGAAGGAGATCTAGAGGAAGTAGGAGAAAATAACTTCAACACAGAGGACATA